AGACAGGATGGCCATCTTCCAATATCTCAGGGGCTGCCACACAGAAGAGGGGGGTCGACCTCTTCTCCAAAGCCCCTGAAGGCAGGAGAAGAAGCAACGGATGGAAACCAATCAGGGAGAGAAGCATCCTGAATTTAAGGAGGAATTTCCTGACAATAAGAATGATTAACCACTGGAACTGCTTGCCTCCAGAACTTGTGGGTTCTCCCGTCACTGGAGGTTTTCAAGGAGAGACTGGACCGCCGTTGGTCTGAGACGGCATGGCTTCTCCTGCTTGAGCAGTGACTTGGACTAGAAGACCACCAAGGTCCCTTATTCTGATTCCAATCAGCCAAGATCATAACCCTCCTCCAACGGAACATGAGGGAGGACTTTGATCCCAAGTTCAGAGAAGGAGCAGGAAGACAATCTTGGACCTTGGTGTGAGACCTTGCCCCACACAGAAGTCGCCCAGTACTGGTACACCAATGCAGCAACCTTCTGCTCGGCCATTCCATTCCATGCGTCGCCCGGGGTTTGGCCCCAGGCAGCTAAATGGGCAGAGCTGCATGTGAGCTCCAAGGTCTTCAAGGCAGAGGCTGCTTTCAGGGTCCAGGGAGGCCCACCTCTTGCTTTGGATGTAGCACTGCTCCAACCTTGGCAACTTTAAGACTGGTGGACTTCATAAATAGATGCCCATTATCCAACAAAAATAAAAATATACTATATATAAAAAGTATAATTAAAAATAATTGTTTAAAATGAAAACAAGAAAGAAACTCAAAGGGCAGACTTGATGGAGCTTTTTCTGCAGTTGGGTTTCTATCTTTCTGTGACAAAGTTTGAGTAGTTCCACCTCTCTGATTTTCACTGCACATTCTGGGTACCACCCCCACCCCCCACCCCCCACTCCCCAGTCATCCTGTTCCTCGGCCCAGCTGTGCTTTTTCCAAAGGGGAAAAGCTTTCCAGGAATCAAGTTAACCGACTTGACAGTTAATTGATGGCAACAAAACGGCTGCCTCTTCAAAAGCAGAATGAAGGCCAGCTTAATTCCACGGAAGCCGGGAAAAGTCACGGCTAAGATGATAAATCCACCTGCCAGCCAGTGAGCGTTTGGCGGGGCCAAGGGAGCTCGGCTGCCTGGATTTTCTGCAGGAATTGCACAGGCTCTTCTTGTCTGAGAGGCTGGTTAGGAAGAGGGGAAGAGGATTCCAGCACTCAAGCCAGGAAATAAATTGGAGCCGCCAGGGAGACGAGCTGCCTTCTAGGCCAAGGGGAACCTCCCATTCATCTCTATTACAGGATGAGGGAAGTGTCAAATTAGGGAAGGAGGGCAAATATTCATCCATCCATCCATCCATCCATCCATCCATCCATCCATCCATCATCAATTCCTTTTTGCATACCACATAATCAGCATAAAAACACCCCCCATTCCCAACCTCTCGTCAACAAAGGCGGCCCACAGTGCTTGTAAAGCCAGCTGCCCTTGGACAGTGGAAGACCAGGTTTCTCCATCCTGGGTTGCGACGTCAGGCCACAGGTGAAACCCTGCTCTAAGGAGGCCATCCCAAAGCTGAGGGCGATCCTGAGCTGATGAAAGCAACGAAGGAAGGCCGCGGAGGAGAGCTTTCCATCATAAAGGGGACTTCAGCCACCTTCCCAACCAGGGAGGGCAGCCCGGCTCAGGCCGAGACCAAGGAACCAGGCGTCCTAAACGAAGCCTCCCTTGGCACCGGTGGACTTGGGCCCAGCAGAGAGGAGGGAAGACTGAACCGCCTTCTGGCAGCAGAAGTCACCCTGGTGGAAATCATCAGAAACTCTGATCCCTGCACTCTGATTTTTAGCCTACGTGCAAATGGGAAATTGCTACCCAGGTCCAACACAGCCCCATTTCACAGCAAGAAGGGGGACATGCTTAAAAAAAAAAAAACCCCGAAGAGACAGATGAAAAAGAGACAGAAAATGAAATTACCAATTCACATGTTTCCCGTTGTTTCTCTTAGCTCTTAAAGGAATGATATAATTTAATCTTTTAACTATTTTTCCACTTGTTTTATAACTTGTGTGCTGCTCAGAGGCACTTTCCAGGGAGATGGGTGGCATAAAAAATCAATTAATCAACCAATCGGTCATTGTAGAGGTCTTCCACTGGTGGCTAAGGGAGGCAAACTCTTGAGGGGTTCTTGAGGAAGCTTTCTGCAATTTCAGGTATTTTTGCCAAAGATCTGATCTTTGCCTTGCAATGGGGAGGAATCACACCTCAACATCTTTGACACACACCTTTGGCTGTGTCAGTAGCCTGGTATTCTGGAGAACCGAGACCTGTGGGTAGCCCTGGGAAAGGAGGAGACCCCGGGGGACAATAATAGCATGCCTCAGTTACCTGAAAGGCAGTATGGAAGTCATTTCACCTGTTCTGCATTGTCCGCTTAAATTTCGAGATTCAAGCATCTCTCAGGGATGCTTTGATTTAAAATCCTGTGCTGACCAGGATGGCCTAAATAGGCCCAACCCAATTTAAGGACTCTACTGACTGGCACCGTGTTACATTTATTTATTGGTATCCTGCCTTTTCTATTTTACAAATAACTGAAGGTGGCAAATATATCCAACACACCTTCCTCCTCCTATTTTCCCCACAACAACCACTCTGTGAGGCGAAATGGGCTGATCAAGAGTGATTGGCCCAAAGTCACCCAGCTGGCTTTCATGCCTGAGGTGGGAATTGGATTCACTGTCTCCAGCGTTTCAGCCTGCTACCTTAGCCAGTAGACCAGAAGGGTTCAACGTTGGCCACTTGAAGACTTGTGGGCTTCAGCTCCCAGAATTCCCCATCCACCTATAGAAATTCTGGGAGTTGAAGTCCACAAGTCTTCAAGTGGCCAAGGTTGGGCACCCCTGCAATAGACCAAGTCAATTACTTGTACGGAATAATTCTTTTGATTCCCTCAGAAGCATGAATTTCCCAATGTTTTTACCAACTCAACTCAACAATCAACAATCAACAATCAGGTAGCCAAATATAAAATCTACTACTCTTTTTAGCAGATTTTCAGCATGTATTTTGGAATTCTACCCATTTTCAGCTGAGGAGGGTTGCTCTACAGCTTCTTACCTTCGTAGGTTACAGAAGTGGACTGGAAAGATTAGAGGGAAAGTTCACAGAGACAAATGCAATGCAGATGGCCAATTAAATGATAAGAGCCGAGGTGGCGCAGTGGTTAGGGTGCAGTACTGCAGCTACTTCAGCTGACTGCTAGTTCAGCAGATCAGCAGATCAAATCTCACCGGCTCAAGGTTGACTCAGCCTTCCATCCTTCCGAGGTGGGTAAAATGAGGACCCAGATTGTTAGGGGGCAATATGCTATTTAGTATACTGTCTTTGGTGTAAGCTGCCCAGAGTCCTCAGAGAGTGGGCAGCATAGAAATATGACTAATAAAAATAATTTTAAAAATGGAGAGGAGTAACTGACAACAACCCTTGCAGGAAAGACCCTGGAACAGTAGACATCAACCAAGCCCTTGGCCTGCATCAACTGAAGAAGAGCTGCCAAGTCATGGGAACTAATTGGGCCCCCTGATTCTGTGTTGATGTTGGGTTTGTCAAACCGCATGAAAAACTGAACCCAATTCTGGGCATCATAGATTGAGAGAGGTTAAGAACAAAGCAGGTTCTGGAACCCTGAAACCAGACTGGGACAAAATCTGAAGAAAAGAGTTGGAGGGAATGGAGTACGTGTAAAATGGAGACGACAACAAAGATGATGGCCATGATCATGTGACTTACAAGGGCCCGACAAAGAATGCCAGGAACCCTTGGAGCTGTTTCAAAGCATCTGTCGGGGATAGTTTCAGGCACTGAGGTAGGGTCTCATCTCAGGGGTCCCAGAGACTCCCATTTTTTGGTTTTAGTCCTGTCATCTGGAGCTTCCGTCCAAATTCAGAGGAAGGCTTCTTCATTGCGTGAAAACAGCAGGGCTGCCAACCTGTCTTTTCCAGGATGCGCCACCCTTCCCTCCAGGGCAGCAAAGGTTCAGGGAAGGTGCCCCTCTGGTTTCGAAAGCCCCCCACCCCCAACTGCCTTGGCCCAGAAGGGGAAGGCGGGAGATGAAGGAAAAGGAAGAGAAGGGAGCCAACCCACCCCGGAGGGTTGAGGAAGGCTTGGGGGCCCCCTCCCCACAGCCAATGGGGCACATTCAGCATGCACGCCCATGTCGGCCTTAGAAAGCGGTGGCACTGCATCATCGTGGCAGCCGGGACAAAGCAGGGTGTCTTTCATTAACAAAGATGGTTTAAATGAGAAAGGGCATCAGTCATTGCATCTCGGCTTCATTCAGGCTTTCTCTCCTGCCCGATCCATCTGCGCTGCCAAGAGGTGACCTAAGCCAGACCCTCTGCCTGGGCCGCCCCACACGCAGACTGGCACAGGCTGCCTTCCCCACAAAGGGCTCCGCTGCTCCCATGGGAGCCTGCCAACCCCGGAGGCTGCCCATTCCCCACCCTGACGGCCAAGGTGTCCCTCCTGTCCACGGGTGGAGGGTTCCTCCATGAAGAGACCCTTGATGGGGATGGGGGGGGCATGCAAGGAACGCCAGTCTTCTCACACCTTTCTCACACACGCAACAGGAGACAAAGTCTTTCCCCAAACAACCTGGTTAGACAGAAGTCAAAGGGAGGAGGCCAACGGGCTTCTTCCGCCACCGTGGTGGATCCCACCACAACTCAGCGCATCCCATCCGGGGTCACCGGCCCTGGCGCACAGCAGGCCACCCACCTCTGCCGAGTCCTTTCTGTCCCTGGCACAAGAGAGCCAACTGAGCGCTGAGAAACGGTGGCCACCAACCTGAAGGCTCTTGAGGGGGTCCTGGTGGATAAGAAGAGGGGTCCCTGGCCTGGCGCTCCAACCCTGCCCCACCTCCTCCTCCTCCTCCTCCTCCTCCCTTCCTCCCGAAGACCTGACGGTCTTTAGTCACACATCTTAAAAGAAGCACAAAATGGAGCAGCACAAAGACCTACTTGTCTCAAGTCGATGAAGGCCAGAAGCAGCGTGTCCCCTTGGAACCCAGGCACCGGCCCGGATCTGGCAAACTCTGTGGGAAAGAAGAAGGGATGAAAAGCACTTTTAACTCACCATGGACAGGGAGATTGGCAGACGGATGACAGCGGAGACAACGGCGGCTGGGGGGGAGGAGCGCCCCACTTCTAAGGAGTCAGGTCCCCCGCCCTGCCTGCTTTTTGTTCACCCTTCAAATTTTGTGTCATCAAAACGCCATTAATTCCCCCATCCTGACAGCAAGGAAACTGTACTAATTTGACCTGAAATTTATTCCCATGAGCCTCACTGGGCTTCGGAGTATTTGTTTTGTGAACGGACAAACAATTTGCAAAGAAGAAAAGCATTTGGGAGATGGGAGGAAAATGGGGAGGGGGTCTCCGATGGAAAAACTTTTCCTCTCGACACAATAAAATCTTTAGCTGTGAAATCCTTTTCAGTTCCGAAAGCTGTTTATATTTGGAGGCACTCACAGAATTTTCTAATTTCATGCCTGTCACCATGATCCAGGCCCATTTGTCAAAAATAAATAAACCAAGCTGCTCCATTAATTATGCTGCCGCAGAAGAACGTCTCTAGCAGATATGATATCCCTGGACAAAGAATGGAAAAGGCAAAGGGCTTCCCTCCTTGTGGAGAATATCAATTATTTTGAAGGCGGCCAGTTTAGCAGCGGTTGAGAAGAATTAGCACGGAGGAGAGATGGTCTCCAGGGAGAGAGAGGGGCCGGCCCCTTGAGGATCTCTGTCTAAACCAGAGAGCTGGGCTATAGTTGCGCAAATCAGCCTTCCCCGTCCATCCTATGCTGACTAGGAACTACACGAGTTGTGGTCTAACCAGAATCTACCGAAGACGTTGGGAAAAGCTGGTTGAAACCCAGCAACACAGAGAAGCGGAAGATGGAAGCCAAGGTCTTCCAGAACTGGCCTGCTGAAGGAAAACGCCATAATCTTCGTCCATCTCACTTCATCCAGAAGCTCTTTCGTCCAGAGCTGCTCCCCGGTTGGCCAACAGGCCATAGGGAAGGCTCTCGTTTTAATGGCCAAATAAGTTTCTGGCCGCCTGATTCTCCAGCATCATCAAGTCAAGAGGCTGAAGAAATGCGCAAAGTCGGGCCAAGAGTTGCCTTGCCTTGAAAGACCCTGTGCATCCTAAAAGCCAACCAGGCAAAGCAACTTTGTAAGAAAGGCCAACAGGACATGCAACAGCAGCTGAAGAATTCCTCTTCTTGCAGCCCCCTCAAAGTCTCACAATGATGGGCCCTTCACAGTGGGAGAGAGGTTTGAGAAGCCCACCTTGAATTGTTTAGCCACTCACTGTGAACTTTCTATTATGGACATTGAAACTCCAGTCAACCTTTAATGAAGGATTAATATTCCTCATTTGGCTGTGCGACTCTCTTCCTCCTAAAGGAGCTTCAAGGGATGCTGGAGGCCCAGAGCTCCAGTCCCACCTTAGGCACGAAGGCAGCTGGGTTACCTGGGCCCAGGCACCTTCTCTCAGCCCTAGGTAGAAGACAGCAGGGGCAAACGCAAACCCCCTCCCAAAAGAGCTGGGGCCGGTCCAAGCAGCCTCCAGGAGTCAACACTGATTCAAAGGCACCCCCCAAAAAAGGTGTGCACACAGCATGGGGGAAATGCTGCGGCACCCCTGGAAAAGCCTGGCATGCGGTCTATGGAGAGGCTCAGCTCTCAGAACTGAAGAAGCTTCTTAGGTGAGAAGAGGAAAAAAACCAAGGAAGCCTTTTGGAAAAAGCACCTTTGGGACAAGGCAGCAAACCAGAGTTAGATGGCAACCGCTTGAGGCAATCAATTGAACAGGAAATATCTCCCAGGGATTCCAGTCTTTCTGGGTTCATCCCCCAAAGCCCCCCTCCCCCCTCCCCCCATTAGCAGTCCCTGGGGTGGAGGGGCTCTGTGCTTCTAGCTAGGGGACCGGCTGAATGGCCAGAGTTTCTAAGCCCCCAGCAACGAAGGGCAAGGCAAGGCCCACCTCAACCAGAGAAGGACCACTCTATCCTGCTCTGAAGACTTTTCAAAGGTTATCAGCCACTCTGGGTCTGAGCTTTGGCCCCACCTAAGGAAAGGAAGAACTTGCTTGAGCCCCACCACCCCACCCCTGCGGACGGAAGAAGGGTGCTGGAAGCAACCCCAGGATGGACTCAGCAATCATCCCCCAACTGCTGTGGCCACCCAGGAAATGTCTATTGGCCACAGGCAGGATTTTTCTTTGGGCTTTAATGCCCATGGAGAAAATCTACCATGTATCAACCAAAATACCGAAAAACAGAGTTGGAGGTGCCCTTGGAGGTCTTCTACTCCAACCCTGCTAAAGATCTCGTTCATGCAAACAGTTGTGATGGAGCCCCCACAACTTCTGAAGGCAAATTGTTCCACTGGTCAATTGTTCTTGCTGTAGACAAAATAACGGACTAGAGCAAGCTCTTCAATGCAGGAAAGAGTTTATTGCGCAAGGTTCAAACAGTCCAAAGACAGCTAAGGGTCTGAACGCCGATGGCTTCTTCTGGCCATGTATTTATACAGTTTAAAGGCAAAATTATTACAGAGAGTGATGCATTTCACACTAAGGGTAAGGATGGGGACTGGACATTGACTACTAGTCTGGTAGGGAATGTGTGTTTTCAGGGAAGAATTGTGGCAGGCTGTCATCAGGTAGGAGACCTCATATGTACAGGAAAATGGGAAAGTAAGGTATGGTGGTCAGGAGGTAATGCCACAGAGGGAACTGATAAAAGGGCCCTGTTTAAGGTAAACGGGTGATCTTTTTTTAAAGGGTCCTGATAATCAGGCCCTTGAATGGCTGGCTCCTGATGGGCTATACTGGATATGTGGTAAAATGGCATATGGGGTTCTACCGAAATCTTGGTGTGGAGCTTGTGTCCTGGGAATAATTGGACCAGGATTCTTTTTGCTTCCCCTTAAAACTCGACAGGTTTTAAGTGTCTCGGTATATGATGAGGTGGGAAACTTAAGACAAAGAAGACATGTAGATACATCTGCAATAGGAAAAGTTAGGGTTGGAGGTAACCAACGTAGTTGGGGAAGTGGAGAATGGCCTGCAGAGTGAATTATTGAGGTTTATGGACCAGCTACATGGGCGGAAGATGGCATGTATGGCTATTGGACCCCTATATACATTCTGAACCATTTAATTCGTCTGCAAGCAGTGGTTGAAATCATTACCAACGAAACTGAAAAGGGTCTTACTCAATTGGATGCAATAAACATTAAACAACAGAATGTATCTGGTTAGGGTCAGTTTGCCCTTTTACAATTCTGTACCTACGTCAAATACCGTTTGTCATCTCAGCACCTTGGCACGGAAGAGGCACTTCTGTCTTGACCAAAGATTTGGATTTCTAATATTTGAGTTTTATCCCAATATCGAATCTTAGCCTGGCTCATTCTCACTGTCAGAAAATCCCTCCTTAATTCTAAACTGGATCTCTTTTTAAAAATCTTAAGAACCTTTAAAAATCTTTAGAGGGTCCGTCATGAGCCATTCTTCTTTCTTCGACAGCCAGATGTGCTGAGTGCCTGGCCCTAAATCATCTCTTGGCTATAACTTCCCCTGGACCCTCTTTGGGTGGTGGTTTTATGACTTTCTCTGCAGCTGAATTGGGAGTTTATTCTTCTGGAACTGCAGCTGTCCTCTTGGGATTATAACCGGAGGAAAGTTTCTTGACTGTAGCAGGCAAAATAATATTACCATCCATCCGTCTTCAGCTCATCCTTTACATTCTAATGACTGAATAATGAAGATATTGCCCAAAGGTGCTTTTTCAAAACACAACTGGACTTTCTTGTTTTGTTCCTTGACAACATTTCGCTTCTCAATCAAGAAGCTTCTTCTGTTCTTCTGCAGTGAAGAAGCTTCTTGGATGAGAAGTGAAATGTTTTCAAGGAAGAAAACAAGAAAGTCCAGTTGCCTTCTGGAAAAAGCACTTTTGGGACTACCATGACTTGCATGATGGAGAATCTCCATAGACGTAGGTCCAAAATTTAAACGTGGAGCATTGTTCAGAACAAGAATCTCTCAGTATTTAGCCTCATAACTGGAACGGTTCTAGCTAAGCCACAAAGTCTAGCAAATCTAGTGATCTTGTAGGCTACAGTTCGGAATGATGATCAGTCCCAGAAACAAGCTCCCCTTCCCAGTTCCATTGGCTATCCTCCTTTTCCTCCTTTTTCCTCTCCTTCCCTTCCTCCTCCTCCTCCTCCTCTGTCATATGCCTGTTCTTATTATTTCTTTTCCGTTTAGTGTATTATGAGCCTCCCAGCCTCACAACGCACCAAATGGAACAGAATAAATAAAAATATGATCCCATCTCCGTCTCCTCCCAGAAAAACCATACAATTTATCTTAAGCAGGTCCATCCAGATTTATGCAATTAATTTATTTATATACTGATGCAATCTCCATGGACTCCTGGCAGTTTACATCAGTAAAAACAATAATAAACAATATTAAAACTCCAAAAATACCAAACATTCATCAAACAAGGAACAGCTGGAGCCACTCAGCACCCCGCAAATCCCTTTGGACACGGCCCCATTTTCACTAGGGTCCAAAGAGCCTTTGGGTGGCATCAGCACTTCCTCAGAGGCAGCTGCTCCAGAGGCCAGGACAGACTGATGCCTGACTCTGCCACCCTCGTCTCCTTCCAGTGGGGAGCCTGGGTGCCTGGATTCTACCTGGAGAAGGTCATCTGCCCATCCTCAGGTATCAGGCCATAGGAGTTAAAACGAGCATGTTGAATTGCACCCGTGAACCGAGTGGTACCCAAGGTAGGGCCCAGAACACAAGTGTAATATTGTCTCTGGCATCTTTCATTTGTCAAGACACAGGTAAGGAGCTGCAGGGTGAAGAGCCTTTGCTCTGGGGGTCCCTGGCCTTTTGCTTGTGAGCACGGTGGCCATCCTAAAATCCCAACCTGGAACCCATCCTCCACCCTGCCGGATTTCCCGCAGGACATCAAAGACTGAGAGTTTCAAAGCCTCACATCCTGTTCAACTTATGCAGTTGGGTTACTGGTTCAGGGTCTCACCAGCCCTGCCATCCCCTGGTCTAACAGCCCCCGAGAGCCCAGGTGCTCACGCCAAGAGACCTCTGGGCTTCCTGAGGATCAGGATGTCCATCAGGGTCCTTGGACCAGCAGGCAGCAGGCAAAGGGGGAGGTGCAAAGACCCACGCAGGAGGAGAGCGGCAGCACTGCCACCAAAGCTCTATCTCACACAGGTAGTCTTGGCTTACAACCATTTGTTTAGTGACCGTCCAAAGTTACAACATCGCTACTTATGGCCGTTTAAGCAATCCACTTCACCACCCCTGTGAACCATCCCCAGCATACGGTCTCTTGCCAACAGCTGCCATGGCTCATCTCCAGCTTTGGCGCCTCTGCAAAAGCAAAGGAGTAATATTTGAAGAGTAATAGCATCGGCCCTGGTCTCTCCCCAAATGCCAGTTTTTCCATTATGAAAGAGCTTGATGGAGACACCTCGTTAAAAAAAAGTGGAATTCCAGAAAGCACACGAGCAATTATGAAAAGGCTCCATTGTCAACAAGGCTTCTGTTCAAGAGATCAAGCACTGAATTCCACTTCAATTCACTTTTGCAGGGGTTCTGACATCACCATTTTTATCACTTTGTACTTCTAATTTTGTTCCCCTGACTCCTGAAGTGATAAAAGAGGAAGGGATGGAGAAGAAGGAGAAAATGTTGACTAGCATATATAATCTTTTATGGATGTGGAAATACAGTTTGCTGTGTTTCTTCTGCTTTGACATGGTCTATGGACTAATCCAGAACATTCTTCCCAGTTTGGGCAGAATCAGTGATCCCTCCTGGAGCTAAAGCTGGAGGAGAAGGTTGCATCATGGATTTCCCATCTCTGAAACACTGCAGCCTAGGTTTGGTTGATTGTCCTTAGAGGAACATCTGAGATCTTCTTGGAGCAGCTTGTAGACAATGGCTCCTTCATCATTTTCCTCAGCATCTCTGCAGAACCATCTGGCCTTTTCATGGGAGTCCAAGATTTCTGTTTCCCGATGCTTCCTGCCTCGACTGTGTCCGTGATCTTCAAACCCATTTTTCACCAAAATTGTCACCAAAATGACAGCTTTCAGTACTATTCTTTTCTTTTTGTACAAACTTGTAATCTCCCACTTGACTTTCAAACCCTACCTCCAGAAGGCCTACAATTTCAGCCCAATCCTTCTGGCGGCATTATAATTTAACTCATGAGATCTTCAACAGGCCCAAGACCTATTTTCAAGAGTTCTCCTTGAGCAAGGTGGAGGAACAAAAGGAAGCTCCTTCTGCCACCAGGACCTGCAAAGAGGTTGGGCCAGCAACCACATCGCTGTCCCTGCTGCCCTTGCCCCACAGACAGTGGGTCAGACCAGCTGTTTCCCCTTAAGGACCCCAGCAAGAGAAGGTGAGGGCATTCAAAAGCCGAGAGATTGAGGGGGGGTTCAGCTCTCCTGAGAGACAGGAGAAGCCATGAGGCTTCTCCAAGGAAGCTGAAGGAAGCCAGCCCTGATCAGCGCCAACTGTGCTTGGAGGAGTCCAAAAGTGAGCACGGAAGAAGGCTGGAACAAGACAGCTCCTAAGTGGCCTCTACAAAAAATGGAGACTTTGCTCCTTGGGCAATCCATTTATCTGCCCTAGAGATGAACCTATAGAACTGAACCGGCATTATGGGATGGAAGAGAGCGAGGGACAAAACCTCACATCTTCCAAATTTTAGGCAGGAAAAAGGTGGAACCACTCCGAAGTCTGTCTTTCTTTTTTTCTCTGCCTTCCAGAGAACCTCTGTGCTTATTTGGCTTCATTTTCCTCCTCCTCTGGCTTTGGCTGAGGGAAGGCAGATCACGTGGGGCATTGTGCAAGGGAGATCTTTATTTACTGTATTTCTCCAATATTTTCCTTCTCCTACCCAGGGTAACTCAATGAGCTAATCTGGGAGTCCCAGCGGTGCTTTTTCAAAAGGCAGCTGGGCTTTTCTTTGTTTCTCTCATTTGAAGAGGTTTCGCTTCTCATCCAAGAAGCTTCTTTAGTTCTTCAGTTCGATTCGGTTCCTCAGAACCGAAGAAGCTTCTTGGGTGAAGTCATAGCTCCCTTTTTTTCCAGTGCCATAGCAACTTCGGTCACTAAATGAATGGTCGTAAGTTGAGGACTGCCTCTAGTTCTCCCCCGATCGCATCTTCCCCCTCTCGCCCTTAACAGAGAAACAAGAAGGAAATTATCCACCATCAGGATCCAACCTGCCCAGCCCCGAAACTCCCAAAACAGCCACATCCCCGGCCTCCTCTTGGCCTTTCAGCTTCTCCGCTCTCTCCTCCTCCTGATCAGGCACGCTGTCAGCAAAACTCCCTGGGCTTAACCTCCTTCAAGGGGAGCCAGGAAAGGCTTTGATGAGTTGGGGGGAATCGGATGTGGATCGACAGGAGAGCCAGTGGATGCACATCCGTCTGCCATTAACCTGCCCAAGTGGCAATTGGGGAGGGGGGGCTTGGTTGCCCCCATTGCACAAAGATCAGCCGGAGGATAAATTTCAGCCATGGAATCTTCTCAAGCAGGGGTCCCAGTGCGCTGGCTGGGGAATTCTGGGAGTTGAAGTCCACCAGTCTTAAAGGGGCCAAGTTTGGAGCCCCCTGCTCTAAGGTTCTAGCAAGCCCATTCTGTCCAAGGCCTCTGGGGTCCCCTGCTTTGCAGGGAAATCAAGCTCTTTTAACCACAATCAGAGGGTCTGTTCTGCAGACTGCATCTGAGATGACCTCCCTGTCCTCTTTTGGAAGAAGGGACTTATTGTACCAGGTGACCAGGCTGAGCCCGAAGGCGGCGTCAAACACATTGTCAGTCTGGAGTCTCTACGCCCCCAATAAGTGACCTCAGTCCATCCCCCTCAGAAGTCCAGTGAGCCTTCTCTGCCGCCAATTGACCTTGACCGTCAGTAGATCAGATTCATGTAAACAGGTAGCATGGAATAAATTCAGAGGGCTTTGAACTCTCTCCTGGTTCCTTGCCTGACACTCATTGTGACAGAGCCACATGCTGAGGAGAGGCAGGGAGCCAGAAAAGTCAAAATAGTGGCCGCAGTGGTGCCTTTCTAGGAACATCAGCGGTGCCATCTTTTTTCACCATAAGCTATAAACACAGAATAGGGATCCTCTCCTCCCTGGTCCTGCACCCCCAAGGAAAGAGGTGGATGGTCAGGTGAGGTCATCTGCAGGGCCAGGATAAGAGGTTACACCACGAGGAAGCATCTCCTCCAACTGGGATCCTGTGGGTGTTTGGCAGGGCCAGACAGGGTCCAGCTAGGGTGCGAAGAAGGATGTGGTGAACCTGATTGGTTCAAGAGGAGAGCAGAACCAAAGCTCGTCCCCAGGGAATGCAGGTATAACAATATAAAATAATGTAAAAAATATGTTGAGACTCTAGAAAGAGTGGAGAGAAGAGCAAAAAAGCCAATAAGGGGACTGGAGGCTAAAACGTATGAAGAACGGTTGCGGGAACTGGGTATGTCTAGTTTAAGGAACAGAAGGACTAAGGCTGACATGATAGCAGTCTTCCATTATCTCAGGGGCTGCCACAAAGAAGAGGGGATCAAGCTATTGTCCAAAGCACCTGAGGGCAGGATATGAATCGATGGGTGGAATCTCATCAAGATGAGATGCAACCTGGAATTAAGGAGAAACTTCCTGACAGTTAGAACAATTAATGAGTGGAATCGCTTTCCTCCAGAAGATGTGGGGGCTCCATCACTGGAGGTTTTAAGAAGAGATTGGACAACCACTTGTCTGAAATGGTAGAAGGTCTCCTGCTTGATAAGGGGTTGGACTAGAAGACCTCCAAGGTCCCTTCCAACACTGTTCTTCTCTTATATTTCTTAGGGCCCACCGCCTTCTGCTCCCTCCCAGGACCGGCTCCGGAGCCCAAGCGAGGGGCATCCTTACGTTCGCACTCTGCCACGTCCAGGCTGAAGAGCTGCAAGGCACCCAGGGACAGCTGTCGGACTTCGGCTTCCAGGAGCTGCTGCATCAGCGAGGTGGACAGGTGTTTGCAGGCAGACATGCAGGCGGTCTGTGCCACCTTGCCCTGGAAAGCAAAGAGAGAGGCTCCAGGTGAGTCTGGGAGCAGGAGGAGCCGGGGAGAAGAGCCCGCACACCTGGTGTGGTCCCCCAGCAGCCCCCTTCCTCAAGCAGCTTCCCCACAAGCCATCCATCCCCCATTATCTCCATTTCATGCATGTTCCCCAATGGAAACAGCTCATCACAATAAGCCTCTCAGAATAGACAGGAAACAATGCAAAGCCTCCAGAAGGATCCAAATATTCCTGTCGACCCACTGAAAAGCTACAGAAGCCAAACTCCTTTTGGAAGCTCTCTTGAAACGCAGCTCCTGTCTCAGCGCCTCCATTAACGGCACTCAGAGAATCGGGTGGTCAAAGGGGAACTTAAAATTGGGGCACACGAGTTTGGGCAGCTCCGGGTCTCCAATCGCATTTGAATATTGGCTGTCTCTACATTGTCTGTATTTCGGTCTCTACGTTTGATATGCTCGTCCTCTCCCAAGAGTCGGGACAAGAGCAATGACAGGCCATATAAAACCCACTGACCCCCCTTACCTCCAAAGAGATCTGAAAATAATCCAAATCATTCCAAATGGTCATCTAGAAGAGCCCCAACACTTAGACCGGGCCGCTGCAGGCGCCAGCCAAGGCTGGAGAGACCCGATACCCAAACTCTCTCCAGGGCCTCAAGGGGCCAACCCCTCACTTACCAGCAGTCCTCGACCGTTTGACCATGTAGTGACCGTTTGAAGTTACAACGGCACTGAAATCATTGACTTAGGACCATTTTTCACACTTATGACCACTGCAGCATCCCCACGGTCACATGATCAAAATTCAGGTGCTTGCCAAATGACTCATATTTATGACGGTCGCAGTGTCCCAGGTCACATGATCCCCTTTTGCAACCTTCTGACCAGCAAAGCCGATAGGGAAGCTGCATTCACTCGACATAATTTAACAACTGCAATGATTCTCTTCACAACTGTCTCATTTAGCAACAGAAATTTGGGGCTCGGTTGTGGTCGTAGATCGAGCCCTGCCTATACCCTGAAGGTGAAGCAGTTGTGCCTCGGCCAGCCCTGCTTCCAATGAACTTCAGCCCAGAGGCCACGGCTTCTGTGGCCTTTCCCAGGGCTCCCTTCTATGCCTCCGAGGCCCAGACGCCGCAGCTCTCCCGGCTCTCCCTCCCAGCCGGATCCTTCTCAGCAGTAAGAGAGAATCAGCATTCCTCACCCCAGGAGATGAGCCTCCGTTCCAGGGAACCCCACTCACCCCTCGGACGGCCTCCCCCCAATCCAGAGAGACCCACCCTTTACTCCTCCCCCTCCTTCTAACTAGCAGAAGTTCCAACTGTCGGCAAATCTAAGAATTCGTGGTTAGCCCCAAACCATCTGCCAAGACCTTCAGGGCCAACTGGGGGGGGGATCATAATCTCCCCACCCGGAGGGCTTCTCTTCCAGAGCGGGCATCAGGCACTCCCGCTGCCACCTGCAAAGTCTGCTTCAAGACAGAGGTAGCGCCCTCTGCAGCCCGGCACCTGCCACCTGGGATGGGGCAGCTGCGCTTTGCGCAATGCCAGGAAAGGGCGCCTTTGGCGAGAGGTGCCAGTTCTGGTCTCTGGCCCAGCCTGAAGCTCTTCCGGAGGGAAGCTCAGAGTGAGGCCGGGCCCCGTCCAAAGGCCAGGGGGACCTCAAAGGAAGGGAAAGGTTCTCAGGTCAGCTGAAGCCAGCGGAGGATTCGGGAAAGAGGGCTGGACTTTAGGGGGAAGCCGCCAGAGCTTCCCATAGCCCCTCCCTGACCGCTGTGTCCTTAGGAGCATCAGCCCAGCCGGAGGGGAAGCGGCCTTTCTGGAAGCCGGCCTCGCCTGTGCTGCTTTCCAGCCCTGGGAGACGATGCAGAATCTGACACCTGCCTGCCTTCTTTTGAAAGAAACCTCGGGTGGAACTTATTGGACCAAGCCAAACAGAGCATTTATTTCCAGGGTATTGGCAAGATCCTGAACGAGATCCATTACAGGTAGTCCTCGACTTACAACAGTTCGTTTAGTGGCCATTCGAAGTTACAATGGCACTGAAAAGAAATGACTTAGGGCCGTTTTTCACATTTACGACCGCTGCAGCATCCCCCGTGGTCACGTGATCAGAATTCAGGCGCTTGGCAATTGACTCGTATTTGTGACGGTCGCAGGGTTCTAGGATCATGTGATCCCTTTTGTGACCTTCTGATAAGCAAAGTCAAAGGGGAAGCCAGATTCATTTAACCACCACGTTCATTCATTTAACAGCTGCAATGATTCACTTAACAACTGTGGCAAGGAAGGTTGTAAAATGAGGCAAAACTCACAACAAATGTCTCGCTTAGCCACATAAATTTTGGGCTCAGTTATGGTCCTAATTCGAGGACTACCTGTACGTGTTTTTACCTCCGTTTTCCTAGTGCAAAGCCTGAGGCTGGCCGGATGGGGATCCCTCTCACTCCCACGGAGTCGAAGTCTCCACGGCTTCACGTTGCCCAGGTTGGACACCTCTCATCTAAGAGGAACCAAGCCTCCCGAGACTCTCCTCACTCTCCTCACTCTGAAAGGTGCTTTTTCAAGAGGCAGCTGGACTTCCTTTGTTTCTCCACGGAGACCTTTCGCTTCTCGTCAAGAAGCTTCCTCGGTTATGACTGAATGGTGCAGGATGGAAGGATTTGTATGCCTAGCAGTCCTCTGGTCATTAGCACTCTCTCTGAGAGTCCTTGAGGCCACGTGGAGCCCTCAGGGTCACCTGAATGGTGCAAATGGGTGTGGAACCCGGGATGACCTCCAAGCGGCCTCAACAACTTTCGGACAGAGTGCTAATGACCAGACGATTGCAAAGAATACAAATCCTTCCATTCTCCACCATTCAGACAGAACTGAAGAAGCTTCTTGGATGAGAAGCGAAACGTCTTCGAAAAACCAAGGAAGTCCAGTCGCCTTTTGAAAAAGCACCTTTGGGACAACCATGACCCGGATGACGGAGAATCGCCATAGATACCTTCCCTCTACCTTTAGAGCCCACTTCCAGGTGTCTTTAGGGCATAGGACTCTACCCAGAAACCAGACGGTGCTTGAAGTGCCTGAGCTGCTTCTCTGGACGTGGCGTCAGGAGCCGCTCTGCTCCTCCACGTGCCTCGTCTTGCCTGGAGGAACGTGATCAGCTGAACTCTCCCTGTTGCTCACGACAGATAAATCTTCAGTGATTAATTATGAAGCCTTGGGGGAAATTATGAGGAGGGAGAGGCAGCTGCCAAGGAAAACCATCCAGAGACAGAATAGAGAAAGAAAGTGTGAAAGAGATAATAAACTGGGTGAGGCTGATTACATTCCTACAAAAAAAGAAGAAGGAGGGAATTCCTATTTTTCCTGTGATTAAAAGCAACAGAGTAAAGGAGGGAAATGGAGAGGGGGGGAGGAGAGAGAGAGACACAGAGGGACACAGAGAGAGAGAACAAACAAGGAGAGCATATACCTACTGAAGCCAGAACTGGAGCTAGAGCTATTAAGGAGAAGAGAAGATGGCCAGACCCAGAGAATGACCTTGGAGTGTCCTGTGAGAGGTGGAGGCTTCACAGCTTCCACTAGAAGCTCGAAAGGCAGGTTTGAAGATCTAGAAAACCTGTCTTTCAAGGGAGCAGCCATGTTGGTATTTTTGCAGTAAAAAAAGCCAAAGCAGTTGCAATTTGGGGGGGGCTCTCCGTCCACGTCTTCAGGTCTATTTGTCATTTTGTAAGCCGCCTTGAGTTCCCAGGGAGAAAGGCGGCATATAAATCGCAATAATAAATAAAATAAATAAATAAATATGGATTGAAATCTTGAGAACAGGAGGCATCTGCAGCCACACAAGCTACACAAAGCCCAGTGTAGGACCAAGGTCAGCTAGAAGCTTCCAAGCCAGAAGTGGCTCCCAAAGGTAGAATCGTGAATCAAAGAGATGCTGAGACCGTAGAAAGAGTGCCACGGAGGACTAAGGATAAATCTGCTGATAGTGAAAACAATGAACCGGTGTAACGTCTTGCCTCCAGAAGCTGCAGTTGCTCCACTGCTGAAGGTTTTTAAGAAGAGATCTGACAACCCTTGGTCTGAAATACTTTAGGGCAGGGGTCTCCAACTTGGCAACTTTAAACTTGGTGGACTTCAACTTCCAGAATTCCCCGAGCAGATTCTGGGAATTCTGGGAGTTGAAGTCCGCCAGGTTTAAAGTTGCCAAGGTTGGAGACCCCTGCTTTAGGGTCTCCTGCTGTTGGCCTAGACGACCTCCAAGGTCCCTTCCTACTCTGCTGTTCTCTTATTTGCTCTTGTTTACATAGAGGGCAGCAGCACAAAATCCCTCAGCTTCCTTTCTTACTTCGCTCCCAGTTTCCCAGAATTTTTTGGTAAACACTCAAGGGCCCAGTTCAGCAATTCCTAAGTGTCCTTTTCTCTCCCTGATGGACTCGGCAGGAGGCCCCAGGAGGAGAGTGTAGGATTTCTTTCAGAAGAATAGAATGTTGGAAGGGACCTTGGAGGTCTTCTAGTCCAACCCTCTGCCCAGGCAGGAAACTCTACACCACTTCAGACAAATGGTTATCCAACATCTTCTTAAAAACTTCCAGTGTTGGACCATTTGCAACTTCTGCAGGCAAGTTGTTCCACTTATTAATTGTTCTAACTGTCAGGAAGTTTCTCCTTAGTTCTAAATTGCTTCTCTCCTTGATTAGTTTCCACCCGTTGCTTCTTGTTCTACCCTCAGGGGCTTTGGAGAATAGTTTGACTCCCTCTTCTTTGGGGCAGCCCCTGAGATACAGGAACCCTGCTATCAGGTCTCCCCTAGTCCTTCTTTTCATTAAACTAGACATACCCAGTTCCTGCAACCGTTCTTCATATGTTTAAGCCTCCAGTTCCCTGAGCACCTTTGTGTATTGCTCTCCATCAGACGGAGAAGGCAAAAGGAGGTCTTAGCAAGGCAACAGCAACTCAGGGAAAGGGCTCAACCTGCAGCTTGTGAGGTGATATTTGGGA